ATGTATACACACAGAGATGCTTTGTCATTTATTTTTCTTTTTAATTCTACATTTTTCATTTTGAAAATTGTATGTATGATGTTTGTTCCCTCTTGGAAATGGAATTCCAGATCTAAATTTAGCTAAAATTATTCTTCCAAACCTAATCAGGCAAATTCATTATGTTGGAACAGGCAAGTGGGCTTCATTCAATAGGCAAGAAGGCTTGTATTCCACCAAACCATTCCTTCAGTGATCCTAAAACCATTCAGGGCTTTAAATATTAAATAAATGAATGCTCTTTAAATAAAGCAAATCAACCAGGCCACAAATATGAAACCGGTGAATTTTTTTCAACAAGGCTTTGTATACATCTCTGGCTAACGACCTCATGAATAGTATAAATAGGGAACAGTGGTATTATCTCAAAAATATGATAGGTTACAAGATGTCTACCAAGAACAGATATACCAAAGGTCATTGGCTGTAACTTTTGGCAGTAACTCTGGCTTCTCATCCTGACTATATCTATCCAGCTTAACATTCTTTTCTTACAAAGTCTTATTTTTAAAATATAACTTTCTAAATTACTGTAGACTTTAATCAATGACTCTGTGGCTATTATGGTTAAACTTGAAGAAGTAATTAAGCCTCTTAGTTTTACAATCCAAATTATTAAAATATCCCAAAATGAGGAAAATGTATCTATACAAAAAAATGTATCTGCACAAGCATTTTCACCAACATCAATAATGTCCAGGCTGGGTAAAACACAGTTAAAACTTTAAATTTAATTGAGATGGAACATAAATCTAAGATAAACATTTCTATCTGAACTTGTTCACATCATGTTTTTCAAAACTAGCTGAGATTATACTGACATGTCAAAATATACTTTCCCCTGCTCACACAGCTTTTTTATCAGGCTTAAATTTCTGAGAAAAGAAATATACATTAAAAAAAAAAAGAATTGGGAGAACTTATTCCACTTCATGTCTTGAAAGCTGTAATTAAAATTCAATATTGCACTTTACATATGGATTTTTATTTGAAACTCCTGTCATGACTAAATCTTAAACTTAGCTAGTTTAATAGAGCCCAATAAAACAGCTCTATTGAATTATACCAAGCCACTGTTGTACACCAGGCTGGAATCTGTTTCTCTTTTATTCCTGACCACTGTACTAAGTTTTAAACCAACAATATGTGGTTAGCATCCAAGAACTATTTATGCACAGCATAGAAACTTTCAAAAGCCACCACCCCTCTTCCTTCAAAGAAAGTGCATACATTTACACCTCAAGTATTTCCCTCCAGTCTGCTGTTCCTATTGTCACAGTGTTATGTGCTAACAGATCTGCACACACTTGCCAAATATCACTCACTAGAAACTGAAACACCCCCACAATATGGATCCATTTTAAGAAGTTATTTTTTAATTTAGTGTCAGTCTCCTATCCATAAAAGACTGTAAGTACATACTCAAATGCAAAAATCTCAGATTTTTATAGTTAATTCTTGTTTATACAGTGAGATAACTTTGTAATATACTGACAGATAAATATAAACAACATAAATGGACATTCTACTTAATAAATATTAAATAAACCTTAATAATGTGTGTGTACTGGTAATATAATTATCATATGATTTAGCCATGGGTTGGGCATGTCTATAGCTCTTTTTATGCCTAGCTGCTCCAGCACATCACATAATGTTCCTGAACATCAGCAGAAAACTTTGCTATCTTCAAGTTTGTTCAATCATTTCCTAAAATGATCAAGCTGAATTTCACATCAATCCAGGCATTAACAAGTAGTGTATATGTTAAGATTTAGAGGAGGGAAATTAAAGACACCAATGAGAGTATCTGTTTTCCATAATTAACTTTAAGGCCAAAGCCTTGTAACTATTTGATTTACAATACATGATTTAAAATTGATAATTAGCCTTGATTCAATAAAACATATTTATAATGTGCTATTTCCCCACACCTTTTTTATTGTTTTAGAGAAATCAATCTATAGATGAAAAATCATTAATTCCCAAGCTGGAATAATATTCAGACTTCTCTTCCATAGGGAAAAAATCCTACACGGTTTCAAGTATAAATAAGGCCTTATTCATAGAAATCTCCAAAGAAAGAGTATAGCTGCAGCTATCATACTTGAGCTGCAAAAATCCAAATGAATGCTAAATTCAGCCAGTTTGGCCTTGTGATTAAGATACCAGGCTAGAAAGCAGGAGACTATGAGTTCAAGTCTTGCCTTAGCCATGAAAGCCAGCTGATGACTTTGGGCCAGTCATTCTCTTTCAACCCAACCCGCCTCACAGGGTGGTTGTTGCTCTGTGGTAAATAGAAGATGTGTTGGATATGTTCATCGCCTTGAGTTATTTATAGAAGTAATAAAGGTGGGGTACAAGTAAACAAATAAACAGCAACAAGGATGCAGATCCCTTATATCTAGTTGTCCCAGTTTTTTTCAGGCCAAATATGGTACCCTTCAGCTCAGACTGACTGGCACATTTCAAGGAGTTTTTCAAGAATGCACTGATGGGCAAATGTTGCAATTCTATTTTTGTCTGGATATTAAAGGGCCCTTAATCCTATAATCTATTTCCTTTTGGTTCCCCAGCCTCTTTGAAATCTCCCTTTAAGGGTTATTTCTTTCATGTCTTAGACTTAGGATGTATTACAGAAGGGCAATTCCTACCTTTATTTCAAAATAGTGTGCATAATTATCAGTAATCTTGAACAGGCCTGAATGCTTTGTATTTTTAAACAAGTATGTATAGTGACAAATCTCTCCCTTCACAAATATTAACATGGGAGGCAATATAAAAGCCCTGAATCAGAAATGACTGAACTGAGAATTGGCACATCATAACGGATAATTTTATTATCTGTTAACTTTTAATCTTCTACTTCACAATTTTCTTCATTGGCTTTATTGCACTGTTAAAACGAGTACAGAGTTGCAAATCAGCAAAACATTTCACAACTGGCAAAAAGCTGAATTTGTTCAACCCTCCTACCAAAACACATTAGGGTCTGCCATTTAAAAAGTCATTTATATAAGTGCACATCACAAGTCTACTATTCTGAGCAGCCATACAAAGACACATTGGCTGGATCATACCTCACCCTAAACTATAATGTGAACTTTGATTTTGACTTGAGGTCGTTTTAGTAAATCCATTGTGGCTTATCCAACAAACCAGGGATCAGCAAGCTATAGATTACACAGCAACTCCAGCCTTGATAAGGCTTTACACTGCATCTTTCTTTTTATGGATGGCCATATCACCATAGCAGGCACTTTTTGAATAAGCAGTTTCTCTCATGATGGCCACAGTCTTCCCACACCCTCTACATTTTCACGCTGCATTCAGGCCATAAAAGTTAAAGACTCCTGTCCTGCTTCCACAAATGGAGAAATTATCACTGGCAGCGCTAAAATAAGTGATGATTCCACATAACTTAGAAAGCCACAAAACGTAATGGGGCTGATCAGAAAGGCGGATTTAAGAGTGCTTCGAAGAGTAACCCCTCTTGTAGCAGCTCAGCATGTGCAACCATCCAGGCCAATCCTGTTCATCTGCTCCTCCAGCTTTGTGCAGCCTGGGCCCTCTCCCACATACACTACAATTCCCATCTACAAAGCCTCCTGGCACAGTGGCTGGGAATGATGGGCACTGTTGTCCAATAATTCTACAGGACACCAGTTTAAGGAAGGCTGGCCTTAACATCTTCAAATACTGGAGCCAAAGCCTCTAACAGTTCTAACTGGAGATTTATTTACTTGTTCTTAAATTTCCACAGATGCCAACAGAATAAGCTGAGCCTTTCTGCACCGAGAGTAAGATGGCACTCCTGAATGGTTCAGCGTTTACTGGCCTTCCCGTGAGCGTAGGAAAGGGAGGTTTTACTCAACAGCCAGTCACCTTCGGGAGAAAGCAGCGGGTCTATGCTGCCTTTTAAATGATATTAAAAAAGAGAACCACCCTATTCAGAGGCCACCAAAGGACCCCTCGTTTTTAAAAAGATGCCCGGCGCGGGTCGTTTCCGCAGCGCTTTGGTTTCCAAACGAGCCGCTTAAATTCGTATCCTCTGAACCGCGCGGGTAAACGAAGGGCAAGCCCTCTGCACTCGAGCAGGAGAACTCTTTCTAATAAAGGGGAATATTTATAGCTGAGGGTTCAAATGAGAGGAGTCCCGGGTGCTCTCTTGAGTTTGGTTTTTTTCTGCCGACGTGCACTGACCGTTTATCTAGTTTGGATAACGAAACGTCTGCAAGAAAACAACCAAACTCGAGAGAACAACCGGGACCCATTGTTATCTCTCTCTCACACACACACACTCACACACACACATGGGGTACAGCATGGCCTGGATCAAGGCGCTTATGTGGGAAAACGCCAGAAGCGCCGACTCAAGCCCCACTTAAAAGGTCAGAATGGGAGAAAGGAAAAAACGGAGAGGCTTGTTAGAAGCGGCCAGGGACGCCATGCCAGAGGCCGCCGGGCCAGTTCAGAAAATGAAACCGTTTAAGGTTGAGTACTTTGCAAGCTTGGCAGATGACTACTACTACTACTACTACTACTACTACTACTACTACTACTACTACTACCACCACCACCCCAACAATAACAACAACAAAAACCCCACTCCCCTCCCTCCAGTGTATATTCTCTTTCTTTCACACGCAGGCGCGCTCGGCGACCGCTCCTGGGCCAGAACTCAAGCAGCAACCTCCCCTCCGGCAGCCTCCGCTTCCTTGCGAAGAAACCGCGCTTCGTTGCAGCTCACCCTCCCTCCCGCTCGTCGGGCCTCCTCTTCTGGAGAGAGGCGGCCTGGCTGGCTAGCTAGCCAGCCTAACCCGTAGGCCCTCCGCCTTCCTTTCCTCTTCCGACCTGCGGCGCCGAGCTGGCAAGCGCGCACCGAGCGCTCCCCCCGCTTCCCGCCCCGCTTGACTCTCGCGCGGCCCCGGCTCCTTACCCCACCCAGAGGGGAAACTCACCTCCTCCTTGTTGGTCCCTCCTGGAGGCCGGCAGGAGCAACGCGCTGCCTCCCCGGCTCCTCCCTCTCGCTCTCCGCCCTGACGCGGAAGGAAGAGCCCGGCGCGGCGGCTCCGTTTCTTCTTCTGCCTCTTGCGCGCGTCGTGGTTTTTCAGGGCTTCCTTCGCCTGCCCCATTCCCGGTTCATTTACCCTCCCCCCCCCTTTTCTTTTCTCTCTCTCTCTCTCCCCTCACCAAAGATTGGGGGGGAAAGGTGCCTAGTGTCCCCAAGTCTTCCGACCGCTGGGCTTACTCAGCGTTGCCTTCTACGGAGTATTTTTATCCGGGGTGAGGTTGGGGGGGGGGGGAGAGAGAAGCGAGCTAATGCCTTTGGAAAAGGCGTCGCGCCCCTCCGGCCGAACGGCTATTTGTTTAGCCGCGATCTCGCTTTCCCCGGGCTGAATTTCTCAGCTGTGGAGCTGAGAAATTGAAGCTGGAATTGACACTGTTTGGAGTGATTATGAAATAAAACTTGATATTAATGAAATGAAGGCGTGGTGGGGGAGAGAGAGAGAGAGAGAGAGAGAGAGAAACCTTTTGCATTCACAAGAAAAAAAACGCCGGCTGATGGAATAGGAATATTGACATCTAGAAACAGTCTTCCTGTACTCGAGGACTCATGTATGGTAGTAATACGAGTAATATTAAGCTGTGTTTTATGATGGAATTAGAACTCTTCATTGGTCAAGTGTGATTAGACACAAAAGGAATTTGTTTCCAGCACATAAGTCCTCAGTGTACATACAAGGGTGACTGTGTTGTGTATGGTTATATGAACAACAGTATTGCGCACAATATAGCAAGGCTTATTTCAAGCACAAGGGAAGAAAATTGTCGTTGTAATGTTAAAATGCCATCAGGGAAATTAGGGTCACAGCTTAAAGATGATCGATGCCTAACTTCCCCAATATCTAGATTATGTTTTCAGTATTATTTTCAAAACGTCTTAATTTACACTCACAATTTTGATATCTCGAGGGAGACTTCACAACAGTGGTGCAACGTACAGTGGGATTTTACATAAGTGAGTGGTATATTCATGTTTTAATAATAATTTCCCTTTGTGCCTCTGTATCAGAAGGGAGAACTGACTCCAAATTACTTAAAATCTCATTAAAACCCTGTGACCAGGTACTGAAAAGTTGCCATAACATTCCACACGTTTGCTCAGAAACAAGCCTTGTATGTCATAGGCCTTATCCGCAGCCCTCTTTGTTTAGGTCTGTCTTAGTAAATAAATAACTATGCACCAGTATGTTTCTCTTTAAGTTTAAAATTAGCTTTAGATGAAATAGAATTTAGCACATGTGAAGGATTAATGGGGTCAAATTATCACAACAGTGAGATTGCTATTACATGTAGTTAAGAGTCCTCCTCCCAATAAACCTGACAATCTAAAATTTATTTTAAAAAACTGAAGTAAATAGATTGCAGATTTCTAACAACCCAAGCGGTTTTTATCTGTAAAGATGTTACTTTTGATATATTAGAATAAATAATTCTTTAGTCATTATTTCACTGTCTTTTTTTTTATAGAATGTATAAAGTTGCAAGAAATTGTGTGTACTCTATATGGGAAGAAAAGGGAGCTGCTAGATGAAAGTCAGGTTTATCAGCATAGTAATAACCGGCTAAATTGGGCAATGAACATGAAAAATCTGTGAATTGTGAGTATCTCCAGAGCTTTATATTGTCTCCAATACCAATTTATCATTTAAAATCATGCTGCCAACCATTACCATTATACTCTGAATATCAGTAGTGTAACTGGGCAAGGCATTGAAGGCTGTGCAGTGAAGTTGAGAAACCACCTGTGACCCACAAGTTGCCCGCCTCTACAGTAAGATATGAATCAGCCTATAAAGAGTTCAAATCAATACAACTAATGGGAGGAACATGTATTGCTTGCCATGGCTAACAGAGGTAGCCACCTTCCCTTTGCTGTACTGATGGTGTTCCACCAGTTACATTTTTCAAGGCACTTGCAAGCACAATCAATCAGTGCCCTGGTGAGGTATGCAATAAATGCAGCTGCTAAGTGGGCTTTTTCTCAGGGCTACAATTTTTAAAATTGGGCAGCTATAACTTCTATGCTTAGATATTATCCCAGACTATTCCTATCTGTTGCTTTAAGCAAGAAAAAAAAATGTTGTTTACCAGCCCCTCTGATTGCCAGCTACAATTCTTGTCCCCAGAAAGCACATCTGAATATAGACAGTATATCCTAAACTTTGGAAAATTTAGCCTTGAAAATGTCACGAGGCCTGTGACACATGCTCAAAGGGCCACAAGTCTTTCTGGCAGCATTATGAATGACCTAGCCATTGCCAAATTCTTCATTTTTGGAAGGTATGTGCCTGTTCTCTCTAGCAGCTCAACCCACATAGATCTCCAGTGTTTCCTGTTTACTTCGCATGAAGTGGGCTATAGTGTGTGAAAGCATGATATACCACAATCAATGTATTAGTCTATTTGGTGTCACAAAGCCTTTTGTGGATGACAGAAAACAGTGTTCTAATGAGTAATACGCCTCAAAGATGCAGTTGTGTTTAATGCAAAAATGGAATATTCATGGTGACATTTCTGTTTTGTTATTTCATTAAAGCCATTCAGAACTATTTGGGAACTACTAGTTTTTTTTTCACAGTATGTTTAGGATTATGCCTTTCTTAACATGACACAAGAAAATAGTTATCAAAAATATTCTATTTTCTGCTTCATCTAAAAACCTTGATTTAAAAAAATCTTCCTCATAATCATGTTCTTCTATGTTTTTTTCTATGTTTTTTTTTAAGTAGAAATGCAAAACTATAATGAGACTGGGATTTCCTCCATATTTTTAAATCAGTGCAAGAAACTTGTACTAAGCATACAAGACACTAAACACAATCCTTCATTGAACACTTGTTAGTTACTCCTCCTAAATTTTTATGTTTTCTTTACATGAAGTGTAGAATGTGCATAGCTCAGAGCTGAATTATAGGGTTCTTGGTGTTAATTGGCTTAGTTAAAATAAAGATGACTACTTACCCTCATTTCTGTGAATATGTAACAAAGGTTTCTAGTGGTCTTTGGTCCAATAGTTAAAAAACAATTGACCAGGAGTTCTAGTCCCACCTTAGCCATGTAAGCCATCTGGATGACCTTGGACCAGTCCCCTGTCTCTTAGCCCAATTCACCTCACGGGGTTGTTGTTGTGGCGAAAAATAGGAGGAGGAAGGTGTGTTGCATATAGTTTACTAAATATTCATAAAAATAAAGGCAAGTTATAAATAAAAATAAAGTAAATTAATGTATTATTCTGACTGTTTTACACTTCAGCATATCCTTTATATATCTTTGCATTTCTACTGGTAAATATAATGGCCCTAAATGTCAGTAAAGTTGTTAATCTCTTTTATGAGAAATGTTCATACTTTTCTTCTCCATTCAAAGCACCTCCTGCTTTATTTTGAGAAAGCTAATAGCTGCAACTCCCAGGAAAATTCAACTTTGGACATTTACGAGGAAACTGTAGCCATAAGCATCTCTTGAGGTACCTTTGAATGAAATACCATTTTTTTTTTCTAATTGGCCATCAGGCTAGAGACAGATATTGTAACATTTTCTTTAGAATATTTTTCTACTTCTGTTAATTTGCATACCAATGAAATAAAAAGGCACTTCCTGCCGGTAATTAGCTGGACTCCTGAATTTAAAGAAAGCAAGGGCTACAACATGAGGGTAAAGAGAGATAGTACCAAGGAAGCTGCAGAAAGCAGCCACTCCTCTTGCACTCAGAAAATGCCTTGGGTTTTGAATTTTAAGTTGGCAACACTTTTATTTTATGTGACAAGAATTAGCTATTTTCCTGGTCTAACAAGTATTCCCTTAATGAGTGCTTTAAGTACTTTTGTCACCGCAAAACCGGATCTGTTCTAAATCCAGCTAGGCTGCTCTGGAGATGGATGATTGTTCTCTCCTAAATTGCAAAAGTTTAGGCATTCATGAATTTCATAGCCTAATGTACCCCCATTCCAGCCAGAACAAGGCAGCCAAAACTTGAGGTTCTCTAGATAAGTTCACATATCTAGAGTATGAAGAACTTGATATATACTTTGAAACCAGGGTGGACTCAGACTGAAATTCAATTAAAGCATTTGTGATTTTTCCCCCACAAAGAAGCATGCATCTATGGAGGGGGGATCATTCTGGGTCACTGGATTTCATAATGACATATGGATCAGGTATAGGGTATGAGACTTTAGTGAGATGGGTGGTAACCAATTTAATGAATAAAATAGCAATAGCACTTAGACTTATATACTGCTCCATAGTGCTGTACAACATTCTCTCTGGTTTACAATGTCAGCATATTGCCCCCAACTATCTTGAGTCCTCATTTTACCGACTTCAGAAGGGTAGAAGGTTGAGTTAATCTGCAAGTGTAGGCAAGGGGAGTGTGGGAGAAATTTTGTCAGTTGCCCACCTCCCTGAAGCCCATGGGCCTTGGTTTTGCTTGTACAAGTTCTACTGCTTGGGACCTTTGTTCTAGTTTAATTTCTTGAAACTAGCTAAATAGCCACAATATTTGGTGGATTGAGAGTGTTAAGGATGGGAAACAGTCACCCACACACATACAATTATCAAACAACATTAAACTGAAAATACTAAACTATTTTGACCAATAACATACAGTATTTAAAGGGTATTATAGAGCAGGGTGCTTTGGAGAAGGGTGGCGAAGGGTGGCATTGAGTGGGACGTTTCCAAGAAGCCTTGTGTTCCCTTTTTGATCCCTAATTTTGGAAGGAAGATAAAACACCAAAAATTAACCATTTTTCACTAAGGTTGGCTAGCGCAATTTTGAGCTGCTTGGTGGATACATGACTTTCATAGCTTGCGCACTCTTCTGCTATTACAAAAAATATATTTCTTCCCCATCATATTTCATCATGAAATAAGTATATGTAAGATTCCAAATGGATAATAATACTCATTGGGATTTCCACAATGTTTCAAAGCAATACTGTAT